TTTTTTTTTTTTTTTTTTTTTTTTTTTTTTTTTTTTTTTTTTTTTTTTTTTTTTTTTCTTCAGAGGCTCTGGAACTCGTCTCGACCGCGGCCAATCATACTAACGAGGCCATGAAGAAGATCGACAAGTTCAAGAAGCTCCTCGAGATTCAAGAAAGCATATACGACGCCATTGATCTAGTCAGCGCCACTCGGGAACTCGTGAAGGAGGGTCGGATCGTCAAGATTTCCGCGAGAAGCGGCGATCATCAGGAGAGACATTTGTTTCTGGTTGGCTTTGCGAGTCTAGATCGTGAAATTCTTTTTCTGAAGAATAAAAATAATAAACATGAATTTCCTTTCCAGCTCAGCGACGTCTTGCTACTCTGTTCGATAAGACTGATACCCGGGCCCCTTTATCGATTGCGTGCGAAATTCATGGTAGAAAATTTGGAGGTGGTGGAAGGTGACAATTTGGAAACGGCCAACACGTTTTACGTGAGGGACGAAAATAAGAACGTCGAGCTGTACACCCACACGGCAGCCGAGAAGGCGGCGTGGCTGGATGCACTTTTCCAAACCATGCAAGAGATCATGAGGAGGAAGGCCAGTCTGAAAACCGGAAACGCGAAGACGTCTTTGGTGAAGGCTGATGACGTAGCTCGGTGTATGGTTTGCGAGGCCATATTCTCTGTGATGAAAAGAAAGCACAACTGTCGAGCCTGTGGAATAGTAAGTGGAAACAAGAACAAAATCGAATCCTATCGTCTGAGCTTGCAGATACTAAAATTCATGTACGACATGATCAACAGGTGGTCTGCAGCAAATGTTCCAATCAGAAACTCTTGTTCGAGGACAACAAGAACATGAGGGTCTGCAGACTGTGTTACGCCGCTCTCACTCAGCCGCTCAACAAGTCTCCGTCATCGCCAGCTGGTCCAGCACCCAGCTTGCTTCAGGTGTCAGCCTGCGCCCCGTCTGTCCTGTCAGGTTACCTGCAGCTCAAAACTCAAGCCAGTAAACCCTGGACCAGAAGATGGTTCGCCCTGCATTCGGACTTTGTCCTGTACTCGTTCAAGTCGGACTCGGAAAACCTGGCGATGACTGCGACGCCGATGCCGGGATTTGCCGTCACCGAGGGACTCGAATTACGTGACGAAGATCCGCTCAGTCTCAGGGATCGCGATAGGGCCTTCAAGATTCATCATACGAGAAAAAGTTATTATTTGCAAGCATCAACGGAGCAGGACAAGAAGAGGTACGTATGTCGTGGTAATTAATTTATTCAATTAAATAATCTTTATTATTATTATTTTATTTTATTACATTTTATCCAATTAGGTGGATACACGCGCTTCGTCTCGCCACCAAAGCAGAACTACCTCATTCCAATGATGACCTCCATGGCGAGGACGCACAATTATTCAGCGATTCGGCAGCTCGGCATATTGTAGAGTAAACACGTGTTTCCATGTACCTCGTACTTATACGGTACTTGTCCTAGCCAAATTTATCTCGATAGCCTGGGTAATGAAATTTAGCAATTAAATTATACGACGACTGTAACATAGCCGGTTAGTAGCAATATTCGTTTATCGCGACGGTTAACTTATGTTATACATATGCAAATAGAGACAACGTTCGTATTGTATTGACGAGTCGATTATTGACTGCGTGATCGGTCGCTAGCGAGGCGCTTTGTTGTTTTTGTAATATTTGTGTTGTAGTATATTTAAATATATATTATAGTATATATGTCGTTTTTCAACGACGGACACGTAACGCGCTACGCGTGTCGTTTTTACGACGAGAAGGAACGTACTGCGGGTGACATTTGTTTCGAGCTTTAATTATTTTAATGCAATAATTCGTGTTAATGTGTTGTAACGCTATTTAATATCACAGATCCGCAATGTAACTTGAACTTGTCAAATTTATGCTTTGTCAAGTCGTAAGAGTCATATTGTATTACACGTACAAATTGTTCGTATCAGATATCAAGTGAATTTTTTTTTGGAATTGTTAGGATTTTATACAGTTTTACAATTATACAGAGATTTACGAGACTTTGTATTGATAAGAAATTTGACAAAATTTTTGGATAAATAATTGTTAGCAACTAGCGGAATAGGGTCCGGGTACGGCAGGACCGTTACTCTTAGGGTTATTGATTGACAGGTCACACTGGAAAAAATCGATAATAAGTCGAATTTTTGATAGTCGATTGTATGTCGGACACAGATTGCGGATCTGGTATACAATTTGTGACGCTGTTGCTATGAGGGCATTTTGTACAATATTTAAAGCCCCGTTCACAACGTTACAACATGTTCGAATGTCGCTTGTGATTTGTGCATTGGTACGCTTTTTAGTTCAGAGTCATTAAATAAATTGTACAAGAATCACGTGGCGTGAGTTATACAAATTTTGCATTGTCTTTCGACGTTCCTACTCGGATATATCAGATATATTGTAATATCGTTAACATGTAAACTGCCAATGAATATTTCGACTATTGACAAAACGAAATACGCAAATAAAAGCTAAATAAAATGTTACGCGCACGATGCGTTCATTTTTTATTATTGTAAAAAAGAAAGGCAAATAAAAATGCGCTCCGAGCTCTCAACAAACAAAGCGGAATTTTCAATGCCTCAAATCAAAATCAAATATTCAATACTCGTATTGCGATTCATCGAGGGACCTGAAGTTCCTGGCAAAATTAATTGGAAACAATTGACTGAATGTATTATCGAATTTCAATTGGATTTTCGACATGGCGGACATATTCGCGTCTACTGTCGATTATGGCTTGCACCAGTAAATGCACCGCGCGGACGTATGAATCTTATCAGATTTGCGTTACAATAATAGAAGCCAAGCATCTCGTACAAAACGCAAATCCACTTGTTATTGTGAAAGTTGGAAATCGCAAAAAGCGAACGATGATTCGCGAAAGGACCGACAACCCCTATTACAACGAGGTAGATATTTTAAAAAAAAATACCAAAATTTCCCCTACATCCCAGTAATTGCTATTATACAAATTTCAAAAACAGTCAATTTTTTTGTAAACTCTTTTCTCAATTTTTAGTACTTCGTTTTTGACTTCAACTGCAGTTTCGACGTGCTGCTCAGCACGCGAATCGGCATTTCCGTATACTTACGTAATTGTTTAAGACAATTAAAGTTTTACGGAGGCATTTTTTTCGAAGTTGCCACAGTCTGGGATCAGCCAGGTAAACAAAAATACACCGATAACTTCAACAAAGTATTTCCAAATTTTTTCTTTTTTATACAAATCAAAAATGCATCTTCAATATCTCGCGAATTAATTCCATAAATTTGCAATCAAAGATCATCAGTATTTTCATAAATGGGCGATGCTGACCAATCCCAAGGATGCTGGGGCCGAACCAAAGGGATACGTCAAGTGTAACATAACAGTAAATGCAAAAGGACAAAAGATCAAAGTGCATCCGGAAACAGATGGCGAGAATGATATCGAGGGGTAAATTAACCCAGAGTTGTGAAATTTCTCCAAAATATGTTTTTTTTAAAAATTACTGTATTTTAGTAATTTACTACTACCAATGCACGCAAGCGGTACCAGACAAAGAGCACGCTATATATTTACAGTCTATCGTGCCGACGGATTGCCATCTCTTAGAGGAAATTTCTTTTGCTGCTGCAGTCAAGCAGAGAATGTCAATCCTTACGTGCAGATATCATTCGCCGGAATGAAGGTAATTTTACTATAGTAAGGTAAACCGCCTTATTATCTGCACGAGTATATGTAATTCAAAATATTCGAGAAAAAGCACTCTAATCAGCGACGAGACTGTCACGACATACTCGTGGGAATACGTTAGTACTTCTCTACCTCTTATGTGCTATCCTGTATTACATTAACAGTGTATATACGTCGCATACATTATCCGATTATTAATCGTGACGATGCAATAGCGAATTTAATGGCTCCTTGACAATTCCACTGATAAGATTTTTTTTCTCTTAGCAATTATTCGCAGTAACATTTTCATATAATTATTTTTCTTCGCAGGGAAAAACAAGTGAACAAAGTACCACAATTAGTCCGTATTTTAACGAGAGGATCATATTCAAAGAAATGTTTCCGCCTCTCAGTCACCGCGTGAGAATTTCATTAAAGCACAGAGCATCCGGCTGTAGGAGCTCTGTGATTGGTGGGCACATTTTGAATTTGGGAACTATCTCGAATTCCGGCGAATACGGTAAATGTAGATTGACGACTTGAAAATATTTTGTAAAAATAAATACTCGTAATTTTCATTACTTTTTTTCGTGCACGGAACGGTTCATTATTTCAATGAAAATCTTGCTACAGGATTTTTGCCCATATATGGACCCTCCTTCGTTCACTTTTACGAATCGGGAAATACGAGAACGTGTTGCTGTTCCGGTTTACCCGTTTTGCCAATTTATCGTGGTCGTGTACTCTTGTCACTTAGAACGGAAATCGAGGATCCTGAAGCCTCCAGTGCTACTGGAACGGAAACTGAGCCCGCTGCACCAATTATCGAAGTAATTGATTGAATTGAAAATTTGATTAAATTTTTATCCACTTTATTCGATTAATTTATTCGTTAGAAGAGCTTATGGAACACAGAGGAGTATCTTATGGTTGGCGTGCTGTACAGCGTGTGTATGATAGATCGTTCTCGTTTTACCACGAAATGGATAAGTTTTGAAATAAGTTTAGGAAATGCTGGTAACACTGCATTCTCGTACAGTCAGTGCTCGGAAAATAGTAGCGACGGACTCTCAGGTACGAAAGTACGGATGTCGAATTGAATGGCAAATTTTTTTCTTCTCATACTGTACACTTCTAATTAATTACTTTAATTCAGAACACGTGAAAGCAGAAAAGAGGCCGGATTTTAATAGTAATACCGTACCACGTGGTACGGCTACCATGGATAAAAAATATAATTATTTACCACTCGGCGAAAACAAACCTTGTATGTACGTGAAATCCTGGTGGCCAAATTTAGAATGGCGAATCATGAACAGCAACAATCTTCGCCACATAGCAACGATACTGGTATGCAATATAATTGCAGGATATTGTTATACCTGTTAGTTGATTTAATTTTGTGGAAAATATTAAATTAAAGATTTTTGTATTTTTCTCAAAAATTCGTCTTAGGAAAATCAACTGGAAATTATTGAATCTCTTATCGCCGTTGAAAATCCCAAGGCTTACGTCAATTACAATGATACGATTGAGGAACTGAAAGAAGAATGCATGGAGTACTTACATCTACTGGATACCGGGGTGTACGATGAGAATGGAGGAACAACGAAACTGGACCGACATCGTGTCAACCTATGCAGACGAGAAATTGAAGATATATTAAAAATAATGAAAATTAATGGAAAATTGCCTAATAATAATTACATCAGAATTGCCATGACGCATGCTTACAAGTATCTGTACAGAGTGCGGTCATTGGTCGATGACGTAAGTTGATTCGAATATTTCGATCGGGTTTGCAAAAAAAATTTTTTCCGTCCAAATACAAATTTGGATTTATGCTTTTTTAGCCTCAACATCATCTGCCGGATATTTTTCTTTGGATGATCGCCGGCTCGTCCCGCGTCGCCTGTGCACGTATCAGTTCGGCTGACGTGATGTATGCCGAGGAAGACGACGTCAGGACACGCGGCGAACAGTGTGGACGTCGCCTTAATCTTTTTTTGAAAAATCTTACTGGCGACGGGGAAACACAGGATTACAGTGCTTGCACTGTCGATATCTTTCTATGGCTCGGTAATGTTAAATATGGCAATGCATGCTGGAGTGCACTTCCACCGGGATACGAAGTCGATCACGAAGCCAATATCGATACTTTTCCACGATACATAAAATACACGAATAGTTGGGTGAATATGAAATATTAAAAGAAATAATACCCCATTACCCGGAATTGAATAAATTTTATTTTTCACTCCTAGAAATTTCAATTACGCGCGCATATTTTTCAAGGACGCTTCTCACCTGGAATGGACACTTCCGGTTTATTGGATCCTCTGATACGCGTCATATATCGTGGCCACACGTTGAAGACGGAAGTAATTGAATAAAAAATAAAATAATCAAAATTTATTGATACACTTTTCTTCTCTTTTTTTTTTCCTTCTAATTTTTATCTATACACTGGTCCAAAAATGTCATATCGATTCATAGGTAATTAATCAAACTCTTGATCCACTTTGGGATCAGACACTTGTATTTCCACCCGTTCAGGTCTATGGTACCGCAGATTACATTAAGACCTCTCCACCGAAAATTGTGATCCAAGCATTCGACAGTGACCTTTGTGCAAGTATTAATGGCAAATATTTTTACTGATAAGGAACAAAGTTATAATCATTGCATGATATATGCCTTATAGGGATCCCTCGAATTTTGCGGAAGGTGCGTCGCGACGCCGATAGTCAAAATGACAACGGAAACTTATTCAGCTCCGGATTTTCCGCCAAAATTAAAATGGTACAAATTATACTCGCAAAAAACGTGTACCGGAGAGATACTAGCAGCGTTTGAATTAATAGAGGTACGTAATAATTTTGTTGATTATTAAACATATGTACGGTTGCCGGGCGATCGCAAGTGTCAGAAATTTAAAGCAAACAAAATTTCGTTCAAAGGCTGGAGAAGATGACATAGTTGACGTGCCGATAATGGCATCGAGTAAAAAAAAAATTTATCACATACCCGATGACATAAAACCAAAAATGACGAGTCACCGTATCGAGGTTATATTTTGGGGCGTGCGGGACATGAAGAAATTGAATTACATTCCGATTTACAAACCGCGAATAGTCGTCGAGTGCGCAGGCGTGCACGTGAGGTCCGAGGTTATGGAGAATGCCAAAAAATTTTGCAATTTTGAAGAAACGCACATTATGGTGGATCTGGTGAGAGAGAAAAAAATTGTGAAAAAAAAAGTGATATTAAAATTATGAAATTTCATTCAATTATTGACTTTTGTCATTTTAATGTATCCCAGGATTTACCGGAACTGGAAATATATTATCCATCGGTAATTATAAAGGTTTATGATTCGAGAGGGTTCGGTTGCTTCAAGTACGTTGGAGTTTGCATCATACCTACTATCTATAATTTTATCGAAAAACTGATAACGGACGAGGAGTATGAGTCACAGATATACGAGACGAAAAATCCTTGTCAATTCTGGAACAATTCACACAATTCTACCATGCCCTGTACGAGTTCACATATCCGCATACGATTTTCTCAAATTTCACCTTAACATAAGAATCATGAAAAAATGTGCAATACTTTTGACGAACCATTATGGCAAATTATAATCGCGTACGAAAACTGATAAGGGAATCGAATACCGGTTTAATACGTGTTCTCATAAATTTGTTTGGTGCTACAGTAAGACGAAGATGGCGTATAATAATTTTCCTTATAAATTTGTTTCCTCGATAGAGATTGCCGAATTACGAATATAAATTATAAATCTAAGGAATCGGGTATAATTGCGAATTAAAAAGAAATTTTCAAAATATTTTTTTAGTACCGCCTCCCTGCGAATACGACGCCGAGCAGGAAGAGAGCAAGGGTCTGATTGGTTATAAAAAAATGGCGGGAATGGACGTGCGTTCACAAATCGTAAAATTGATTAAAAATATTTTGAGTTTTTTCAAAATAAATAATTTTACGTGGAATAAGAAAAAAATTGTCTACGGTACTGACGAGGATCAGGCTCTTGATTGGTGGAGCAAATATTATGCATCCCTTCAGGTAGGGTCGTAAATGGAAATTAAAATTTTTTTTTTTTCATCTCTACCCTTATCAGCTGGTAATGAATTTCGACTGTCGTTATCAATGACTTAGGAAGAAAGGCTCAGTGAGTTGGGTATCGTTACTACCTTGTTGCCAAGACAGAAACCAGTTGCCACTTTTAAGGTACTATCCACATCGAAGTCATGCAGACTTTTAATTGTCTAGTAAATTAAGGTTTATTCCACGGAATTGGAAATGCAGCCGGAGTTTCGATCCTTTCAAGATAGATTAACGAGTTTCGAATTATTGAGGGGCAAAAGAACTGGCGATCCGAAACGCGACGAAAAAAATATTGTTGGAAAATTTAAGGTATCGCTTTCCATTTTTTATGGAATTCACTTTTAGTTTGAATACGATGAAATACATATTTTCCTACTTTCCCTATCACTTTATCAGCCATTTTTCTTTAAGGGTCATATATCAATTTATCGCTGGCCTCATCCACAACAAGTCACGTGTAAAACCAAAAGGGGTAGAAACGCTGCTGATGGTTTGTGCGACGATTATCCCTCTCAGGAACCTCTTAAGCTTCTCGTACGACTTTACGTTGTGAAAGGTAAAATTTGGAAAAAAAAAAATTTTTTTTGAAAGTTGAAAGATTTTCTTTTTTTTACACAAGGTATAAATTTGCATCCCAGTGATCCGCTGACTGGCAAATCTGATCCGTACTTGTACGTAAAACTTGGACGAAATCATATAAATGGCCGAAAAGATTATATTCCGAATCAATTAAATCCAACATTTGGCAAGTAGGTTACCATGAATTGGCGACCGTTAATATATTTTGATTTTAAATTTGATTTTAAATAAAAAAATTTGCTTAATTAACATATAAAACAGACTATTTGAAATGGAAGCCACATTTCCAAAAGATTATTTATTGACTGTACAAGTGTGGGACTACGATGCTACGTCATCGGATGATCTAATCGGCGAGACGAAGATCGATATCGAAAATCGATTTTACAGTTTGCAACGTGCCAGTTGCGGAATTGCAAAAACATACAGTACCACGGGATACAACGCGTGGAGAGATCGCGAGAGTCCGACGCAGATACTAGAATTTATATGTAAAAAAAATAATCTCCCACTTCCGGAATATCGTATGGATTACGTGAAAATCGGTAAAATAAAATTTTGGTTTAACGCTGTGCTCGATGACGTCACTGCCGTAGGTAGTCCAATACATTTTTTCCCTGAGTTATAAGAATTTTCATAAATCGTATCCTTGGCCTTGAAAAATGTTCTATTTCACCCAATTCCCATTAATCTCACAGACAAGGACGAGTGCATGGCCTTAAACGTTCTTCACCAGTGGCAGAATTTTCCAATATGCGGCTGTACTTTGGTACCAGAGCACGTAGAGCGACGAGCATTATTCAATGACAAGCGTCACGGACTGGAGCAGGTTTTTCAAATTCCTAATTAAAGAAATTTTGGTAAAAAAATATACTCGCAAACAAGAAATTTCGTTAAAAATACAAAAACATGCCAGCGTCGGTCGGGAATGTCTCCAGCCATAAATTCACGGCTGCATTTGCCAATTGGCAAGAGTTCCGAAAGTCTGACCACTTCAACGTAGTTACTACTAGTTCTTATACGTGCAATAAACGTAAAAGCTGGAATCCCAAAGCTTAGACTGTAGTCACGTAATAGGGGACGATCTCAAATTTACCAAAACGTAAAAAGATGGTGACGGATACAGTCAGATTAGAAAATTTCGAGGAATTCGGGAGAAAGAATATATGACAAGGATGAAAGATGGGGGGGGAGAAATTTTGAAGAAAAAAATTCTTTGTAACTTTTACGATAGACAGAAATTAAAATTTTAATAAGAACCTCTTATCACTCCTTCAGGGGAAACTTGAACTCTGGATCGACATGTTCCAAGTAAACGAGCTGCCACCCAAAGTCCCTATTGACATAAGCCCACAGTTACCTAAGGACTATGAAATTCGCATAATTATATGGAACACGGAGGATGTTCCAATGGTGGACAATCAGTTTCTTACCGGTGAAAAATGTTCGGATATTTATTTAAAGGGGTATTAATGAAAGATGCATTAAAATGATAGCGTTCAATCTGAGTACAGATACTATCCTTAATTTTTGATAATCGACGCAATGTATCATCTCGAAAGGTGGATCGTCTATGAAGATCATCAAAAAACGGACGTTCATTATAATTCATTGACCGGCGAGGGAAATTTCAATTGGCGTTTTATATTTCGCGTCACTTATTCCAAAGGCGAACACGTGATGATAATTCGCAAGAAAATGTCGATAATCGCGCGAGACGAGACGGAACAGAAAATTCCATGCAAATTGCATTTGCAAGTATGGGACAGCGATCACTTTTCGCCTGATGACTTTTTAGGTAGAAAAGAGAAACTTTTTTGCAAATTCTCGTACGTCAGGAAGTCTGATCGATTGCTTACGTATCTTAGGCTCACTGACTTTGGACCTTGCCAGAATGCCGAAAGGCAGTGCAAATTCGAAAAATTGCAATTTGAAGATCATCGAACCAAATGCACCGACTATCAATGCTTTCAAGGTCATGAGAACTAAAGCATGGTGGCCATTCATTTACAGTAAAAATGACGGAACCAGCGTTCAGGCGGTAAATACCAAATGGTTCTGATTATTGAAAATTTGAAAAATAAAGTAAAAAAAATTACGAAGATAAATGATAAATTTACAATTTTTAATTGTATGCATTTTTTTTATTTTTTTATTATTTTTTTTTTTTTTATATTAGGGAAAAGTGGAAATGGAAATAAATATCTTATCCGCGGAGGAAGCGGATGCACAGCCGGTTGGAAGAGGACGGGATCCACCAGAGCCACTTCCCTTGCCCAAGTAAGTTCCAATTTTTAAATTGGATGAGCTTAGAGCCTCGATTCAGTGGCCAGTGGCCAGTGGCCAGTGGAGACTAGCCAGTCGAGTAATGATAAAATATCCAGAGGGGTAGGTCTGATTGAGAAGCTTTTACGTAAGCACAATGTCTCGTGTCACTTAACGATGGTTTATGAAACGTCTTATACCCGTATGACGTTGCCAATTAATTTCGAGCTTAATTTCAATATTCTTACTAAGTCACGGTACTTATCTTAATTATATTCCTATATTTTCGCAATGACCGAATAAATTTTCCTATCGACGTTCTGCCTTATCCTTGCAAAAGATCTCATTGCCCAAAGTGGAAGAAAGATCTACCGTCTGATCTACTAATTATTCAGATACTTTTTAGATAAGAGTATATATCCATTAAGAATTATAATTTTCAAAATTTCACATTAACTTTTTTGCTTGCACGTTTTTCTTGCTCTTTTTTTTCCTTTCTTTTTCTTACCATGTCTTATTTTTCACTTTTTTCACAGCCGACCGGACACTTCCTACTCTTGGTTTCGCAATCCGTGGAAAGCTTGCAGATTTGTCGTTTGCCGTTACTACAAATGGCGAATCTTGGGATGCTGCTGCTGCGTGTTACTGGTAGCTCTGGCGGGTTGTGGAATTTACGCATTTCCCGGATACTTCGTTAAACGCATACTGGGCGCATGATACCGACTTTCTCGTAATAATTAATTATCGTTTCCTTAAAATATTTCAAATAATTATTTCTTAATTTATATAATAACGCAATGGACCCCATAGGTTCAAGACTCGATTGAACTTTTTATAGAAAAATCGTAATAAATTGTTCACGTATATTATGGTCTTTCCTATTGACCTTTCTTGGAGAAAAAAAAATTAATACAAAATTTCAGCAATTTATCAATCGATATTACACTGCAGTGTAAGTATAATTTGAATTCTCGTAGAAAATTCGCAATATCGATCTTCGTTTATACAATGAAGATGCACTAATTGATTAATTAATTATGAAGTGCACCCTGGTCAATTAGAATAGCGATTAACGATGTAATTGTAAAAAAAAAATAAAACCATGATTCTTAAAAAAATCATTTCTGACTTTACAATTGTATCGGTATGATTATTTATAGACAAAAAATTATCAATATTTTGAATTGCTATGTCGGTCCAATATTTCATCGCGTTTGGAAAAATCGAAGAATTGCAAAATTAATGCGAATACGATCAAGAGGCAAACGCGTTATGAAATAGGATTCGCGTATGTTCGCGAAACAGAGTGGGAACGGAAGTCTAGAGCTTCGCAGGGATGAAGCAAGCGTCGCGACGCCGCGCACGTACTCGCAGTATCTCGCTACCCACGTTCGGGGAAAGAACAAGTTGCAAGTAGAAAGTGTCGTTCGCGAATTAAAAGCAAGATAGTACTCAATTGGTTAACCTAACTATTATCGTCCCTTATCAAGATGCAATTAATTATTATCGAGCGCGATCGCGATTTTTAAAGAATATTTCAAGAGAAAATTATCGCGATATTAATTTTAACATTTTTCCATGAAAGGAATAAAATTTTTTATTCGATTTCGTATAATATAATTATCATAACCAAGTCGCTGTCTTTTCAACGTACTCGGAAAACCACATTCGTAATATCGAAGCAAAATAATTTTGCACAAAATTATCAACTTCCGTCTTTTGGATTATTGCAAAAAAATAATTATTCCACGATTGTGAATAGCCAAATAATTTTCGCTTGATGCGATAGGACCAAGGGTAGCTGCACCCTTTCGTTAATTCCTTCGTGAAAAGAGCGTCGTGACCATAAAGGTGCGTCACGGCGTCGCCCATCCTGCATCCGGTTTTCCATTATCCATGTTCGAGAAATCAACGTGGTGGTCAATAGAGAGGACAATCTTCGCGGGGAACACATTGATTTGCATGCACGGATCGTAAGTAAAGAATTTATGAATATTCGTGAGCTCCATAAGAAATAGGAGTGTTTAACAAAAAAGTTAGTTGGTACCAAAGTACAAAATTTAATGGTATCATCCTTTTTGTTCTTGTGTCTTTCATCGAAAATCTCAGTGAGAGACTAACGAAGGAGATTACTTATGAACTTTCGCGAAATTTAATTGATTCGTTGACAAGTCGTTGATGCTTTTGAATTAAAGAACGCCATTATCTCAATACTCCTATCAAAACATCCCCATCCAGCAACATCACCTGTCAAATTTAATCGATGCACTCGAAATGGATTTTCAAAAAATTGCATAAAACTGAAGTACATTCATTTAACGATAACGAACGCAATTAAATTACAATATGCACTACAGTACAAGTATTAAAAGTTCCTTCCACACAAATTAACCTTCCAATGGAATCAATTGATATATAATATTATTTGTATGAAAATATTTCATAATCAAAATTTTATATTTTTATTTTTCCTCGCATTTTTTTTTTCTTCGCTTTCATCTCAACTTTTAACGTTAGAGCCAAGAAGAAGTATAAAGAAATTTAATAAACGAAAATAAAAGCAGCTGTCCAACTCGTTAGACTCGATCGTGGCTTCCATCACGTAAGAGATGTCGATACGATTAACGAAAAGTTCCGACAGTCAAGGAAAGTCAGTAGTCTATAGTCGACTCTGTAAAACGAATTAGTTCGCACCGATCCACTGTCTGGCTAAAAGTTAATGAAAAAGACTCGCAGTGCAGTTAAATGACACAAATAATCGTTCTAGACTCATAGACGTGCAGCCCCCGCAGATTGATTCTCAATTAAAGGTGGTGCATGGGAACGATTGCTAAAAGCAAAATGGCCGCGGATACAACGTAATCTCGACAGTAAGATACGTAGAAAATTTTTGGTCATGAAATATCGATACAAAAATTGCTATAATTTCGCTAATTGAATGACCCAATGACGTCACGTTCCGCTAAGAGATCGTTTCCCAAGATTTCCTTCGGGAGTTGTCATTTCTTTCATTAGCCAATACGTGCACAGGCGTGACGTCACTTTTCCCAAGAAACGAATGTAATTCAAGGCGATTTGCAAAACAACGAAAATTTCGTGCATTTCATTAGCGCTTGATTATTTTTCGCAGACGTTTACACAGAGTAGAAATAAAGGAAAACAAAATTGGCGGCCATGACACCCATCCTTCTTAACGAAGACTGCTGGATTTCTTTCCTTATTTATGACGTTTTACGGTCCGACAAGAACTTTTTACGAGGTTAATCTACCTGCTGGCAGTTTTGCCAATTTGCCAAATGCGAAGGAGCCAAATTACTTCGTCACTATTTTCATAGTCATTTTTACTTATCCGTCACGTGATACAGAAATATCGAGTGCAGCTTCGTACGTTTAACACCTTTATGTTTATATTATACAAGTCTTCCGAAAAGTTGGACAATTGTCCAGTAATTCATTTATTTTGCAAATTTCGGCAATTCCTCCGCATCGCAATGTCAATAAACTTCAGAGACTTTGTCGTTCATATGTTGGCTAACGTTATCCCGTCGAGAATCTTCGTCTGTACTCGGTTCTACTCGAATGCATTATACGTGCGTATACCAGACTCTATGTAATTAACTATCGTATCTCTAATTTCCGTCTAACGAAAGACCAACCTACCATGTATTTCTAAGCATCCCCTTGAAAACGTTACGTTAACTTTATTAACGTTAAAACATAAACGACGTTCTTGGCATTAATATACACGAGGAATATGACGTAAGTGACGGAGAAATAAACTTTACCCTAAATTTATATCTAGTCTTCATCGACGCATATGGCTATCAGTATTTCCGATTGTCTCTGTAAAATATCTGATAACGCTACTATATCGGTGTATATTCCAAAATCTAGTTAACTTCGCACGTATCGCAGAATCAATAGTGTCGGTAATACCAGGGTAACAATTAAAAAAAAAATATTTGTACGCGAAAACATATAGGCAAAATATCAAATAATTTACTGATTCATATTAATTAATAATAAATTCAATTACAGTGTAAAATCACGATTCGCCTTTAATTATCTGTTATTTATAATTTCCGGGTGAAATTATTGCAAGGCTGAATACAACATTACTCGCGTCTTCGTTTGCGTGCCATTTACGCGACATTATGCAGAGGACGTAGTCAAGAAATAATATAAATTGCCTAATTTTACTTGCATGAAAAACAACGCAACAGAGCTGAAAATTTGATTGAGACAATATTTCCATTGGAGTTACAGGTTGTTTCAATGTTTAAAAAATAATAAAGGAAGCGCGCCTGTTATCGAGATTGCGGACGCTTGAGAATCGGCGATCTTAATTTTCAAATTCGAACTTTGACCAAATTTAAAAAAAAAAAATGAAATTCTAGGAAATCGCAAAACGTTCGAGAAACGTTTAAGAAAATGTCGGATTAACGTTTTTCGAGGATGACGTAACATTTCTGAAACATTTAATATTCAATGTAGCTAAGGTTAATGGACCTTATGTAATTTATTGCTATGCTACGTTGACGCGACGATTGACGATTTTTATAATAAAATTGTTAACTTTTCTATCCGTATGTACTTGGGGAATTACATCATTCGAGAAACCTCAACGAGAAGCCAAACAATAATTGATTAGTGTACAGTCGGTCCAGTTGATTTACAGATGGACAATAATCATTTATGACAATTAACGAGTAGTCGGTTATGCAACTATTTTATCAGACATTATAAATTATCACTTGTATCACAAGATTGTTTTTGTAAATTTACAATATACATTTTCATAGCTTTATACGCAGTCTGTATGAATTTTATATGTATATATCAGATATATCGTTATATTTTTTAAGAAGGGCAATTCTCAGGACTTTTTGTATTGAGTATTGGCAGTTATGAGGACACTCGGTGTTCGTCAGAGCGTGATGGCATCTTCATACTTGAGTTATACGGTCAGGAGCATAAAGCGACACTCACACAGAATTTTCCAAAAAAAATGTATCATGCCTAGACACTCGGAGTTGTCATGGGCTAAAAAATGATTTCGTTAGGTTAGATTAAATTAGAACTCCAATGCCACGCGTCTCAAAGTTTTTTTTTTTTAGAAAAAAAAAATACATCGGCTTGCCGTTGTGAGCGCCACGCGTGCTCATAATAACCCTTTCACAAGTTTACATATAGTATATGTCAACAAATAGTGACAGATGTTCAAGATTAGATTAATGCATGCGCAAAGAGAGGGTCGGCAGTGACTAATAGAGTGTAACAGCACGGTTAAAAGTAAATTTTGAAAAAAGGTACTAAATATCAAAAATTTAATTTAATTCTAAAAAAATATAATAAAACGGTCCTAATGAGCATTTTCAAATACTATATGTAAGACAAAAAAATACCATATACAGTACCGAAATGGGGATCCCAATTGTAGAGTCAAATGTCAACCTAAAATGCCAGAGGAATCTTTCATTTAATTTGTCAACCCTTTTTCTCATCGCGCGTCTTTTCCCTCGGGACAGATAAACCTCTTTTATTGCTTTATTTCAAAGACATATTGCCGGGCGTCCGCAAGATCTTGATCTTGTGAAAAGGTAGTTTCGCCGCCCAGTAAAAACACCCTCAGCGTGAGGACGCTGCTTAAGGGTTGGGCACGAATTTTTAAGGATGAACCCGAAGGACAGCTAAGTGCATTCACGCGTAAAGAATACGTCGTGTGTTTATTGGAGTTGAGAGACGTGAGATTTTCTAGGGCTTGACGTTGTTTTTTTTTTATTTTTTTTTATTTTTTTTTTTTTATACAAAACCCCCTCACCCTGTATAAGAGTCGCGTGGACTTTTTTGAAAAATTGGATGCCGCTGATATGTCGTATTGCACAAAAAAAATAATCCTGCGCAAAATTATCGCCACGTGAGTCCATTACGTAAAAACAATTTTCATGGAAGCCACCCTTAGCCGACGCCCATCCAGAGAGTTGACTCGTCACGTGTTTTCGTAATTAATCGCGGTAAGGAACAATGCCCAAAATACCGTATCAAAGTGAAGGAGCACATCAAAAGAGCGACCAAAGCCGTTTGTAGTTAGAGTTATTAATTGCACATTGGAAATTAAATAGGTAACAGTAACATGATTTGCGTATCGACCATAAGTAAAAACGTTAAAATCGATATAAGCGTTATTTCAAGATTTTTGCATAGTGACTTACGTGACAAATTAATTGTTACTTGCACAGACGTTGGAAAAACTATACAACTGTCTGGTGCAGGTTCAAGTGTTTTTTTTTTTTTCGAAACCATAATTATCTTCACGTAATATAAATATAATTAGAGCAAATTCGTCCAGCGGAATTATATTTACGCGGTACACCCTGTATACAGTAATAATAATATAGATATAATTAAAGCGTATGTATATGTACAGTACTGGTCAAAAATATATATATATATATGAATATAACATACCGTGCATGATATCTAACCGAGTGACTGCAGTCGTGTTCCGTATAATTCCTAGAGTCACCTGGGAATTTCTTATCGGACAGGTAGCCATGTATTATTTTCTCTCTTTTTGAAAGGAACCATCGTAATTTATTACGTGACGAAATTGAAGTAACGTTGAAAGAAAGTTTTACGATTGAAATTGTTGAACGAGTAATTGAGAGACAGGTGACATTTTTTTTACGAAATATACCATTTTCAACGTGGACGTGTTATCTTTGAGGAAAAAGAGGATTACAAATTATTGTCACGTAATGCTGCTACGGTTGCGGTTGTAGGAGCTTCTTAGGATTCAGGTGAGGCGATAGAAATTTTGAGAAAGAATTTCAGAAAGGAACTGGAAACTAGCTGGTTTCGCTGTCGCCACGCTTCTACGTGGAAATTGTGACTTTACGTTTAATATGCAAATGCCTCTGTTTAGCATAAACGTTAGACTGTCGTATCGTGTGAAATAGCTTTTTTGTTTGCGAAAAGTTATAAAGGTGCGGGTATAGCGAGGAATTATATTTGCTTTAATCAATAGCACAATGAAGTTAAAAAATGAAAATTAAGTTTTGTCAAAATTTGTTTTTTTTTTTTACATTTTTTGTTGTATTCGTTGTTCCGATAGGGGTATGGCGTTATTTATATTTTAGGTGACATTTGAATTATCTTATAATTACGTAAATATTAATGTTTCCTATTAAGGAAATCCTCGATTAAATAAGCTATGGTGTATTAGTACTAATTCCCGATGCGCGAGCAATTCATTAGGGAAATTACTTTATTATTTATAGACGTTGATCAGAGCCCCATTATAATCGATTCCGAAGTTCAAGAAGTTTTTGCTCCGTTGCGGTAAAAGTTATTTCAAAAATTGTAAAACCGGTACCAGATACGACGACCGATTCGATTACGAAGTGAGAGAATGGAATAGAAATTTTGCTAAAAAATTGGAATAGTGTACTTGATAATAATTCCTGATAATATCATGCATAATTGTGCAATTAAGGGAGCCCAGGTAATCATAAAAGTTTAATAGAAATTTAAAGGCAAAACTGTAACGAGTTCACGGTCTTTAATCTTATTTTATATTATCAGAGTATCAAGTAATGCTTTCAAAAGTTTATAAGTCACTAATAATTGTTGTCTTCCACAAATTTCGAATACACAGAAAAGAAAGAAGACCAATGTACGTAAACTCAAAATCAAAAACCTGTATATTTAAGCGGGCAAACGCTCAAAGTGAAAGAATTATTTGTCATTTTTCTTCGATTCCTATTTCCTCGTCAACGTGCTCCGAGTGAAATATTTTCCAGTTTTCGATTTTTTCTTTCAGATTTAACTGATCCGCCAAGATGTCTAATCCGCTGTGCCTGCTGCAGAAAATACAAGTGTTTCGCACAGTAGCTCAAAGCCGAAATAACAATAACGAAGGTCAAAAACAAAATCACGTGAAAGGCCTGACTGCAAATGAAAACGGCGGTCCTGTCGTAATAGACGTTGACAGAAACAAAAGTGTATTTTCGTTTTGGGATGTAGGTAGCAGTAACGTTACTCCTCCTAATTGATTTATCATTTTCATTTTTTTCCCCCCAAACACCACGTTCTCTGACGAAAGATAATAATTGGCGTCATTAAAAAAAAATGTCAGAATCGATAAAACTCAATTCCAAACGATATTGCTCAATTCAAAAAAAAAAAAAAAAAAAAAAAAAAAAA